TATATATACACACACACACACACATACATACACACACATATCATATACATTAGATGCACCTGATGATTTGCTTTCAGTAAAATGATATCAGACCAATACAAGCTGATAAATCATCACCCACCCATGCCATTAATGTATTATGGCACAGATCTGCTTTGGGTCTTATTACCGAGCTAGAACTTAGGGGTTAGGATGAGATTAAACACTGCAGGTTAGGTTCAGGTTTAGAAGTTGGGTTAGGACAAGATAGTTAAATGTTAGGTAGAGGTTAATGGTGTGGTTTAGAGGTTGGGACCAGGTTAAAGCAAAACTCTGTACAAATTAGAAATAACTCTTGAAGTGGACCTACCCCCACACTGTAAGGGTTAAGTGCTCGTTTTGGTCTGGGGTCTATAATAAAAAAGAAATACTCACCTGAACCTCGGTCTCACTTGGATGCTACATCGGTCCCTGCAGTCTCTTCTCCCCCCTCTCGGCAGCCTCACATCGAATGCAAATCAACGGACTTGTATTAAACGTGATGATGTCAGCGAGCTTACACCACCGGAGCCCAGGGAGAAGAGACTTGTGGGGCCAGGCGGGATCGAGGAACGGGTGAGTATATCTTTTTTTTTTTTTTTAGACCCCAGACCAAAATGAGCACTTATTCCATTGGTTCCTCCATCTACACCAAACAGCATGGAAGAAGAATTTCCACTGGCGGCTAGTGTGTTCAGCAGCTGCTGATGAATACCTAAACACCGAATTAGATACTGGATACAGGCGTAACTATGCAGAATTTTTGGACCAGCTCCTTCGACAAAGTCAAATGAAAACTTGACTTTTATTGAGTGGGGGGTGCCAGCAGGGTCACCCCATGACTCAAATTGTGGCCAATTCAGCAGGATACAAGTGAAATTCGAGCAAAGTATGGACAGCTTTAGAGTTAGGTTGACCCTAAAGTGCATCTACAAGACAAAAGTTTAGTTTTTTTTAAATTAGTTTTGGATAAAGTAAGGAGGGGTTAGAACCAATGTCAGATGTGTCCCCACCACTCTCTAAATGTCCTGGAGGCCATTGTCACCAAGACATGAGTGCACAGTTTTACAACTATCTACTTCCTGAGAAGGACAGGCAGGATATATCTGATGGTAATATAGACATAATAGTCACCAACTTATCTGGAAGATATGTATGTCAAAAACAACTTCCCTACACAACTCTCTGGTTTTTCTATTCCTCACTGCATATCCCTGAACTTTATAAAGAAAGGCACTAAATAAATGATCGGTACTCAATGAATAAATGCATATGCCTATAACATATTGCTGCAATAAAATCTAGAGATTCAGAAGGCTTTAAAAAGCAGGAGATATCTCTTTAAAGAACCGTTTGGCCAATAACAGCGCTCTCCCGTAGATTTACGGCGCACCTTTAATGTTTCTTGGGGGACCTTCAGCCGGTGAAGCACATGCTGGGAAAAGGCTCGGAACAATCCGGTGCCCTGGCAGTGTGAGATCTAGAAGAAACAAAAGCCGCTCAGATTTACGGCCGTTATAAAGCACAAAATCTCCAGTCTTCAAATAATATTCCGCCGTCATCTTTCATGTCTCGGGATAACGAGCTTACCAGAGGCGTGTTGTAAAACAGCCCGTATCTCATTCTGGGGAGAAGTGCGAACACGGCATCCTTAAAGCAGACCTGAAAGAGAAGACATGATGTGAACGGGTTATCTTTTCAATAAAAAAAGAGAGACAAATCTAGGTAACATATACCAGAAATGTCACCCAATAAAATAGAACATACTTGATTTATATGCTACGTAGTGAACTCCAGCTGATAGTAAAGTAAACCAATGAATTCAGTTATGGATCCATTGAAAAATTATTAAATATATATTTTTTTATATGCAACTAGTGGCATGATCTGAATCTGGGTTGAAATTGGCTTCTCGTAAATGGCAGCACTCAGTCTGGGAGCACTTGTTGGCCAATCAGGTGTCCTTCATTCACATGCACTGAAAAGGAAGAAAGACCAGATGAATGATCTCATCGGTCTGTTGAATAACTTGAATTTACCGTCTTGGAATCGTATGTCTTCAAGTGGACGACTTCATGGTCAGTGAATGCTTTCCACGTCTCACCAAACAAATCGCCATAGCCATAGAAACTCTACAATCAGGAGAAATGAATATTCATTTACTATTTTTTATACAAACGCTCTTCCAATGCAGCTGACAACACTGGTTGGAATTTCAGTGCAGTAGAGACACCATATTGTCATCTGAGACAGGAAGTTAGGAGTTCTGGCAGAACAACAGGTATTTTTCTGTAATTGCAGCATATTTCAAGGAATAAAACACAGGAAAATGTGCAGAGATGTACAGGTAGCCTTTGTTTTGTGCTGGACATGCTTGCGGCAATTTAAAATAGAACCCTTTTTGGACGGTCACGTAACTATTGAATCTACAGCACCATCAAGGATACGCAGGGAAATGCTATATAGTACAACTGCAGGTGGCTATAATACAACAGCACAGTACTATGCAGAGTCTTTGACAATTAGATCCGGGCACAGGTGGAGGATTGCGGCTCAGGAAGGGGCTCAAAGAACTGTGGACACCTACAGAGGGACTTGGAGGTATGGTGGTGCACACATAGAGATGCGCTGGTGGCACAGGGATAAACATGGAGATGTACACAGGCCCATAGAGACATGCTGGAGGCACAAGAGGTACACTTGGAGCTACAGCAGAGCATTGGGGTACAGCTGGAGATATGGAAGAGCACAGGGTTAAACTTGGAGACATGGAAGAGCACAGGGTAAAATTTGGAGATATGGTGGAGCGCAGGGGTACACATACAGAAGAGCATAGGGTTACACATGGAAATCCAGAAGAGCACAGGGGTACAGTTGGAGATATGCAGGCACACAGACATTCATTTGGAGATGTGGAGCCAAATAGAGCCACAGGGGTACCCTTGGAACATTCATTTCAAAGCTTTAAATATAGTCTATTATGTCATTTATGTCATTTTTGAGAGAGGCCTGGAACCTAACTCCCTCACTTCCCATTGACTTGCATTATATACTGGGTTTCAATTTACATCGGTTTACATTCTAATTGCAACCATTCCTTCTGGAACCCAACTCTGGTGTAAATCGAGGGCTAGCTGTACTGCTTTTCTTATAATTTTTTTAGTATATATGCAGCTTTAATATACTGTAATCTATTGACTAAACACTTCTGGGCTGGCTAATGTTTTCGAGTGGGTAAAAAGTTATAGCCTGACTGCTGCCAGATGTTGGAAACCTATCTATATGTGATGTGCTTTTATTATCGCAGGCAATAAAATTAATTATCATAACAAACAGATGACAGATGTGGAAATGTGACAGCACATTAAACCGTCTGAGTGGGAGAAGATCGGTTTTGAAGCGGTGTGGCAGCTCAGACAAAGCCGCGTGCTGCTTGTATAGGAGTGGGAGTTGATGGCCATTAGTGGATGACAATGGCTTGCTCCGTTGCTATAGTGGTCATTGTATCTCCCACACAACAGCCAGTAGGGATGCAGACCGGGCTACACACCTCAATAATTCAGGAGATTGCAGCCGAGTGTAAATCAGAATCAGTCCTATTGATACAATCTGGCATGGAACCCAACAGGTTGAGTGGGAGGATATCCTTCCTCGTCACTGAACCAACTGGCTGCTGGTGATAAGATCCCTCTATATCCTGCCGGACCTCCCCCCACCCGCACACCAGTTCCCGAGAGACTCGCTGCAAGGAATGGTAATAAAAGAAAACGGGGGCTGAAATAAAATATATATTTTTAGCCCTATTATCTGGCATGACCACTATCACTGTAAATTATATCTGACATTTATTTTCTGCTTAGAAGAACCCAACAAAAAAGTTAGTGTCGACTCTTTCCGGTATATGCAACCACAATCGCTAAAGATTCATACAACCTTTAACGTTAAGTGGCATCAAAAGTTATTTTTTAATCTTTTGTAAATGTGAAGCTTTTATTAAAATAGTACCTGGTGATCCTGCCCTGGAAGTCCTTGTGCAGCCACTTCCTGATACAAAGTGACAACGCTCTGTCCCTGTGTCCCAGGTTTGCTTCTGCATTGTCACCCTGTGACATTCCCCCCTGAAGACTATGAGCAGCTGTGCTGACACACACTGTGTATGTATGTATGTGTATATATATATATATATATCTCTCTGGGGGCTCAGATAGTCTACTTTAGGGGCATTACTTTGCAGAGTGACATGTGGCTTCACCTGTATTTGAATATATATGCAACAAAAATATGTTTGCAGGGCTCATTCTCATCAGGTGCATCGAGTTCTCAGTGCTGACTAGGTGAATCTAATGCTGGGGAATTTTATAATGCAGGTTAAAGAAACATTTCCATGGACCTTGGGGGGTTTAGGGGATGTATCTGGTTGGGGCTGGGGATGGTTTTGGGATCATTCAAGTGCCTTTATTGTGAAATAATTGTTCAACTCACTCAATGCAGAATCAGTGCTTGTTTTCCTGCTCTCGGGTGGCCAGTGCGGGCTCTCTCGGGTGGCAAGTACGGGCTCTCTCGGGTGGCCAGTGCGGGCTTTCACCAGGGGTCCTGAGAGTCTTGCTGAACGCTGCAGGCGCCGCAGATGCGGCTCTCTTCTCAGGCCTTGTTCACACCAAATGCAGAGCAGATCTGCATGAGTTTCTGCACACGCAGCGCAGTGGGTTGTGCCGCTTTTTTGATGCGTTCCGGGCCGTTTTTGGTTAAAAAAAAAAAAGAATTTTTCTTTTTCTTTTTTAGTTTAAAATGAGCTTTCAGTGCGTTCCAGGCGTTTGCATGCGTTCCAGAGCAGGTAAAATAGGGCCTGCTGCAGTTTTTTTACCTGCTCTGGAACTGAACTCTGCGATGTGAACTGGAGCTAAAAATACTATTGGAATACATTGGACGCAGTTTTGCTCCGGTCTGTAACTGCTCTGCACCTTCTCCGCACTTGGTGTGAACAAGGCCTCAGGGGGCAGCTCACTCCTCACTAGGTCCCCGGGTGGCCCCAGTGAACAGCCTCGTAATATGTCTGATTAGAGAGCCTCCTCTGCCTAATTGTAGCCAGCCCGTATACCGAGGCGATCCATGCAGGCCCGGTCCATAACAGGTCCGGAGGTTGGGGGCCTCTGTATCATACAACAGCCATAAATACCATGTAATAAGTTTAGTATTTCACAGGCTGTGTAAACTGTAACAACTTGATGAGCTAATATAAATCCTGCTAACCTACAAACAAATGTATCGGATACATTGTGACTTGTATATATGACATAGCGATCATTCTTCAAGGTTACACTATTTGTAAAACTTTCCTGTCACTTTCTCCAGTAGGTTTCCTTCTCTTAGCTCTGTTTCCTGGTGGCACTGGGTAGATTTGGCATTTCAACAACTTGTTCCCTTAGTTTGGTGTAGCACAGCTTCGGCTATGTAAAAAACAGGAGATTTGACTTCCTGTTCTCACGCTTAAGAACAGGCCTGCAACATTAACAAATACGTTTTCCTAAAATAGCCGTCCGTATTCACCGTGCCCTTCAACAAGGAAAAATTCCTCTTTGCGAGCACAGAAGGCACGGCATTGATTTTAAAGGAGAATTTCGGCAAGTGTTATCTGCATCTAAGCTGAGCACATAACAATCAGCGGCCCATTTATAAACGGAGGGCAGATCCCGCTATACAGATCTCGCCTTCATTCTCATCCCGGATTTAAATTTTTTCAATATCTTCCTGTTCATTTTAATTGTGCTCCATTGGCTGCCTCCCTGCACAAATAAGATATATGAGAAAGCAGAACACACACACACACACACGCACAAAGTGTATTAGCTTTCCCTGAATATAACCTTTAAAGCAGTGGTTCTCAACCTGTGTAACCTCAGGACCCATATTTGTCCTTGGTCACTAATCTGTGACCCAAGTCACGCTGCAATGGAACGCATTGCATTGCGGTGCTGTGTGTCCCAGTGCGGGCGATTGAACTGTGGGTGAGAGGTGTGTTTGGGATGCCATTCAAATGAACGGCAATGCAATGCACCTCCCACACCAGAATTGCTTGTACAACTTCCTTGCGTGCCCTGTAAAGGTGCCGATAGCCAGAATGTGATGTCACTCTGGTCCAGGCACCTTTACAGGACACGCGAGGGAGCTGTAAGCAATGCACGTATGGATGGAGCTCCCTCGCGGCCATAGCTCCAGCCCACCCCACCTCAAGCTGACATTCGGCACCGGGCAGCATATTCTTAATGGCTGCTCAGCGCGAGAACTGACAGTGCTGCACTAGGGGGAGGCAGAGGAACCTCTCACCTAGAAAAGTGGAAGGCACACGGCGGCCCACTGAACACGGGGTCGCGACCCACTTTTGGGTCACGGCCCACCAGTTGAGAACCAAGGCTTTAAAGTATAAGCAGATATTGTCTAAATACAAGATCCATGTGTATTCTTCCTGGAATCTTGGTGAGCTTTGTATATCTCTTCCTAAACTGTGCAGTATTCCTGTGGTAACGTGGAGCTTCCTGTAATGCAGACCGGTCACTGCTGCTCTCTCTGTTTGTGCAGGGTGACTCATCTTGTCTCCGCCCCTTCCTGTAGTTTTCTGTATCCAGCCTGTAATAGGTGGGGCCTGCTTGGCCACTCCCACAGCTCTTCTCTGCGCATGTACAGCAGAGTGATGATGTCACTACTACATTTACAAAATAATAACGTTACTTGCAAAGACATTTGGTACACACCAAGCGGATTTATACCCTTTTGGTTATAGAGAAATATATTTCTATGAAAGTTTTTGTGCCCGGAGTTCAGCTCTAATTGAAGCTACTTACCGTGTCCCACATGACAATCTGGATGTCAGTACTGAACGAGTTGTTCACGTGTTGTGTAATGTAAAGATTGGCAAAATCACAAAAGTGGTGATACATATTAACACCTGAAATAAAATAACAAATATACATATATAAAAACATACATGATAGGGCTGTGTATATCAACTTGAATGCACAGTTTTTGTCACAGTTTCCAGTCTTGACCATTTCTAGTGATGGAAATGGTTCTCCTCCATGGGCTGAGCCAACGTTTATGAGAGCGTGTTGGGGGATTCATTATTGCACAATGGCTATTTCATGTCTTAGCCTAGATGTACATTGGCTTCTAAGGACTCACTGAGCCCTGTTTTCTTCTAGTGGCACTCCTTACAGCCCAGATGGGAGCTGGAGGACCTTCTGCTGATCACATAGTGCTACAGCACAATTCCAGGTAATGCCAATACTGTTGACTTATATATATGTGTGTGTTTAGTTAGAAAAACAGTCCAGTTCAACAAATCTAGAGTCACAGTCCAATAATGGTCCATTTATGACACAAACTGCATGTATATAAGCTCTAAAAAATTCTATTGATGATATCAGTCTTGGGGGGGGGGGCAATTACCTGCATCCAGCTTCATGAAATATGTGGGTTTTTCGATTATGATGTCACAGTGTCCATCCTCTATAGGTCTGAAGGGTAAAGAGCTGTATGGCTGCAGTTCTGCAAACCTAGGATTTAAAGGAAAAATGGTAAGGAGGATGAGGTCACGTATGTCTAGGTTGTGAAGAGATTTACCTGATTGGTGGTAGTCCCCTCATTCGCGGCACGCTGAAATCATCATGATGCTAATGAGATGATTACATCCTACTGTGATTCACAGCATGATGTCATTATACAAGGGGCGGCCATAGGACTCGGCGGCGGGCGTGGATTTCATGGGTGGGTCAGCAGTCTCCACAACCAGAAGAGGTGTTGTGGAGGGTCCGGTGACAGAGGAATCAGGTATGTATCTAAGGCTGTTAGGATTTTCTATACATCGTGAATGAATGGGAGGTTTTGGGATGACTGCATTTTTGCCCCGAGATGGACATGAAAGTGGACCATCACACTGAAATAAAGCTCCAGTTACACACTCCCCACCTCTGCAGCATGAAACCTACCCCTCCCCCCCCTTTTTTTTCCGTTTGCTTACTTTTTGTTTGATTTTTCACATTCCGGAGGGACCCACCCACCCATCCTCCATTCTCACCTGGACGAGATTGCCATGCCTCCTAGAATGCGCATGCCACATACCCCAGGAGACATTAGCTTCCATATAGCGCATGGAGGAGGGGGAAACATGGGCATGATGACACGTCATTTTGGGGCCGGCTAACTGAACTCGGAAGAGACAGCCAGCTCCCAATGATGCTGAGGAAGAAAATGACGGCATGGAACCCGGTAAGCGGAACGCAGTTCACAGCATCACAACACTGGATTCGCTGGGTGGCCAAAGTATATGAATTGAGGACAACGCAGCATTAGGTAAGAGGGCGGTTTAAAAAATTAATTTGGAGGTGAAGATCCTCTTTAATACGTTAAACACAAATCCATAAATGCTCCCTCTATTCATAATCTGTGTATCATGAAAAGCCAGACAACCAACATTTTCAAAAGGAGACATCAGCAATAGCAGCCTACACGATTCTCTTAAGACAGGTGCACTTTAAGCTCCTATATATGATACCTGCAGCGTCCTTAAAAACCCTGCAAATATGGTCTGATTGGCAAAGAAAATTACCCAAAGCTTGTCCGTCCCTTCCTGTCTGCATTATTGTGAAGGACCAAAGGGAATGTTCATTCAGCTGTAAGTGCAGATTGTTCTTTTGCTGTTGCAGGTATGTGCTGTTCTAATTGCCGGCATTTCATACCTGAAACATAATTTTTTGCTCTAGAGACAGATTCTCTTTAGCCGCTGTAGGTTACGCTGCTTTTCCCAGTCTTCGCGCTGCTTGAAACTTATCTTGTATTTGTTTGAAACTTCCCACGTTAATATCAGAGTATTTAAATGCTTCCAGGAATCTGTGATCTCATGTGTCTCAGTGGAATCTCCGCTCTTGGAATCATATCCCTCCAGCACTGTTATGTCTGCTATACCACCATGGCTCCCAGCCAACGTGCCAATAGGAAATCACGGTGTCAGCCAAGCATACGAACATGACTTCCTATTGGTTGACCCCTCCAATCTTTCGTAAAGGAAACCTGCACTGAGGATGGACTACAATCTCAGGTTTAGGTTACTAATTTGTATTGAGATTGTAGTCCATCATAGGAGCAAGCTTGGAGTGGTGACTACTTTACAACACACACAGGGACCATGGGGAACAAAAGTAGTCACCCTCCAGAAGGAAGGACAGTGTCAGCACCAATTCAGAGCTGATTTGAGGATCTACAGCCGAGTCATACACAAATAAGGTACATTTTTGTTAATAGTTCAGGTACTTGAATGTATTTTTAAGGTTTAACGCCTGAGTTTAGTGTAACTCTAAAGCTGAACGTCAGGCAGATATAAAAGACACAAATTAATTCAGCTCTGCATTCACCGGCAAATCATTAAATGTAATTTTTTTAAAGGCAAGCAGTATAATTAACTGCATTTGACCATTTCGCAGCCTTTTGTAATCTCCTGTAGAGCAGAGCTCAGACTGGCAGAGGAAGAAGCAGCACAAGGAGCTAATCAGCTGAGCTGCAGAGGTCATGTACTGAAAAGGAACATGCTGACAGCAAACAGCAGGAGAGAGCAGAATGACAAGATCATCACTCTGCTGCTGCTCCCTTAAATGTCCAGTCACAGGCTGTGGGAAGAACAAGACCTGTAAGTGCTACTGAACTCCAACAGATAGGAAATCTGGTCTCCTGACCCGCCAGACAGTGTAAACCTAGGACCGGATGGACAGAAATACAAATCCTTTGGCAAGTAAAATTATACCCCATATATGTGTTTTTAGTTTTCTGGAGTTCAGCTTTGACTTTATATTGATCTGGAAAAGTAAAAATCTATAACCTACATACAAATACAATCCTATTCCAGGCTGAAAAGTTGTCATACAAATGTGTACACTTCACCCCCACGAGCAAGTGTACCAGTCTGCGACTCACAATCAATAGCAGCGAAAACAAAACAGCAAACAGTGCCATCGATTTCTGTCTACAGTAGGTGTAAAGAAATTAATTAGGACCTCTCCGGCCTGACTTTGATTTATCCCTCTGGAGTTTAATTACAAGTGTCTTTCTCCGGCTATTACAAAAAAGCGCAAACACAAGATTTCAAAATCACGGAAAAGGAAGAACTCCGGGCATACAAAATTTACCAAAAGGCTCTTGCACAGGGGGGTAGGCAACCTTGGCGCTCCAGCTGTGGTGACACTACAAGTCCTATGAGGTGCTGCAAGATTGACAGCCACTGGCATGATTCTCAAAGGCAGAGACATGGCGGGATTTGTAGCTTCAACACAGCTGGAGTCCTATCCCTGTTCTAGCCAGCAAACTGAACCAAAACAGTATTGTACTATTCTACTTTTTTCTTTTTCCACTTGCCTGGCCAATAATGGACAGCTGAGGGCAAATCCATCTGCAGTATTGGTGTAGGCTCTGTAGAGGAGAATAAGACTCTCTGCAGCTCAGGTAACATACAGATTTCATCTCCCAGCAGTCCTGACGTGTGCAGACAAAAGGGGATTTAGGTGATCCAAACTTTATCATTTATACGTGTCTAGGTGTAGGGCATCAGTATCTCTGTGTAAAATCCTGGATTCTGTCTCTGGTTGTCTGTTTTGGCTGTTGACCAGCTAAAACCCTTGGCTAGACTCTAACTCCTTACCCCTTGGCACCACATCCAACAGGATGGCTTGACCTTTTGCCCAAATTTAGCCATCCTTTGCTCGGACACTGCTTGTCTTCTCTGGATTGATCTCATCTGCTGTTCAGATTCTATGGTCTGGCACATAAGCTCAGGAGGCACCCAAGGAATGGACAAAGTAGGGATGCACTGATAACGTTTTTTCAGGATTGAGTACCGATATTTATTTTTAACGGTACTCGCCGATACTGGCATCCCGAGGTAGCGTGGGCCCAGCTTCCTGATTGCTTGGGAGGCCGATGTTCTATCGAAAGCACACTGGCTCCATGCTCCCTCGCGACACTGCGAGGCAGCCTGGCTTCCTGACCAATCCGGTAGCCGGGCAGCGGGTCATGACCTGCCACCTGGCTTCCTGATTGATCAGGAAACAAGGGTGCCGGCTTCCTAGTCAAACAGGAAGTGGGTCGCGACAAGCTCCATACTCCCCCCTGGGCACTGCCGGTCAGAGAGAATCTCCCTCTGACCGGCAGTTATGGTATTGGGGTAAGTATTGAAGCACTTGGGCGAGTGCGAGTACTCACCCAAATGCTCAGTATCGGTGCATCCCTAACCAAGAGTATAAAGCTAAACCAAAAAGTTGCCTCTACAGGCAAAGAACGTTGCCAAAGAAACTGAACTGTCGCTAAACCATTACACTCTGTAACCTAGACCTCCTTTTCTAAATGAGAGTTGCCTGGTTGTCATCTAACCCTCTGGTATCAATACTGAGTCAATGACCAGGTCCAAACATGCAGATAAGGACCTCTGAATTTACTAAGACTTTCCTGATCTGCATACTTGTTCTAGGTCAGTCACTCAAACAGTACTGAAGCAAAAGGGACAGCATAAGGGAACTAGCATTTTTGGAAGAAGGTCAGCAATGGCAGTTCCATAATTTCTTTTGGAAATGTTTACTTTAAATTAAGCCCTGAAGTTATTCCATCTCCAATACATGTAAAAGGGCAGAAACAGATTTGGCTCAATCGGACAGCAACCCAACCTGATGGCATGTCAACTGGCCCACCATTGCCCTGCAGTCGCCGAGGCTTTCTTGTTGGGAATGGGATTAGTAACCTTTAAGATTGGCACTACTATCCTGGAATCCCATATCCTAATATTAGGTTAAATAAATGGCATTTCCTATTTAGACTCATTAATGGTAAATATGTACGCTCTGCAAAAAATGTAAGAACTGAGATTTCCTCAGAACAAAAAATTACCTTCAGATCCATCCCAGTTAAACGAACGTTGGATTCTGAGAGAGACATAGGTACGATAGTGGTAAAAAGATGGATGTAGGGAAATTATGATAGTTCCTGTCATTGACATATTTATATATAAAGCTAAAACATTTTTTTATTTTTTTTGGTGGCGTGAAGAAGGATTAGAACCGCTGTCAGGCTTTTATTGCTGTCCATGTCCATTCTGGGAAGACTGTCACTGGGACAGAAAGTCAGAAGAAATCTTCCAGTGGGGACACCTGTTCTTGTGAGATTTCCTGTTGGGTCTCCAGGACAGAAAGTAAAGGGAAATCCCCCCCCCCCAACAGGACAAAGGCAGCAAAAGAAAAACTAACAGGGGTTATAACCATTCTCTACTCAATCTAAAACTCTACATGAGGGGCTACATTATGGAACAGGGAATGTATGAGGAGGCCTACCAAGACTGCAAGGGGCTCTTCCGGTGACCTTGAGAATGCAGCTTCTCCGAGTCCAGTTCACAGTGGCCTCCAATTTCACCATCTTGGATGAAATCCTCCTTAAATCTAAGAAAGAATTGCAATGGCTCAGTATTCAGCAACATCTGAGGGTTGAATTGTTGTTTTTTTAAATAATGTTCATTAGGCAGATATTTATTCCTTTGAAAATAAGCAGTGTCACACTGCTAAGCCTATCCAATGCCTAAACATGCCCCCTCCTGCTCCCAGCGCCTGAAACAGGTTAGATCATAGTTTGTTACCTCTGACTCTCAGTATAATATCTGATGTATGAAGGATTATGACAAGATAATAAAAATATAGATATATGATATGAAGGTATCAGTCCTCAGCTCTAGAAAATGTTTGGATTCCAGAAAGGTTCACTTTAAATAAGCTTTTATATACAGAAAGTGGATTTCTCTTTTTTTTTTTCCTTCCATAAGCGTTATTATTTTGCAAATTATATAACATACAACATTTATACAAAAATAAGTAATTAAATAACAAAAAAAGTAGAATGGATTTTTCTAAATATGAAATCTGACCTGTCAGGGCCTCTTCTAGGTTTCCTCAAGTCCAGGTAGAGGTTGGTGGCTCTGCAGTGTTGCAGGTTGTCAGAACAGGTCAATAGGGAGTCACCCTAAGGCAGAATATGGGAATTATCATCTATGTCATACCATGATAATCAATGATACTGTGATTCTGCACAAGAAGACTGACCTGCACACGGGGACGACATAAAACTTGCATCTCATTGAGCCTCTGTTTCACGTAACCGAAGTCGGCCTGTCTCCAGAACACTTCTTGAGCCTCCTCTAAGTTCTTTGCCCTTCAGGAACAATTATTATATTTTAGGACACAATCACACCAATGCATTGTCTGCATGCAACCCCACCTCTAAGTATCTCTCAAATGGACTGCAAACTGCATACCTGGAACCCTGTTCAAAACATCTGTTTTCTTTTGGATTGACTATAGAATGGTTAAAACTAGAGGTGTGCCAAAATGAAATTTTGAGACCAAAACCAAAAATGAAAAAATGTCGGGCCGAAACCGAAATTTATTTTTTTTATACTTTTTATATATTAAATTTTTTCTAAAACATTTAATTTTTTTAAATATTTTATTTATGTATTTGTTTTTATTAAATATTTTTACATTTTATATAATATTTATGTGCACAATCATGAATGAATAGGAAGTGATGTAGACCACTTCCTATTCGTTTATAACTGTTACATAGTAACTATTTACAAGCGGTCAGTGATCACTGAATGACTGTATAACACTCTCCATCCTGACTCACTGTCACAGGAGACTGAGCTGGCGGTACAGGAGGAGAGCTCGGTCTCATTCGACAGCTGACTCCGCCCCACACCACTCTACTTATCTGTTACAAGGGGCTGAGCAGGGTGGTGCGGGAGGAGAGCTCCTCCTGTGATACACTCACATAGCTCTCCTCCCCGCTCTGCTCTTTACCGTTTCTCTCCTCCGCGCAGGATGCTGCGCTGTGTCAGAGGGGACATAGAGCAGTGCCCAGCGGGGAGGAGAGAAACTAAGGATGCACCACAATTTCGGTCGAATGATGGCACTTTCGCCATTTTGCCCAAAGTGCCATTTTTCGGCCTATATGCTATAATTCAGTTTGCATTTGCTTCCCCCCATGTAATGTGAAGGAGGGGGCTGTGGAAAGTTATATTTACTCTAATTAACCCTGTCTGTACTGTGCCAGCAGATTTCATTATCAGTTATAAACTACATTTGAGCACTGTCAGTCCTAACAAAGGGTTAAAGGAGAACTATGGGGTTAGGGCTTTTCCCCATAGTTCTCCTAAGGGTAACGTGAGGACACAAATTAGCGCCCTCCCATCACCCAAAGCTCAGTATACCGCGAGCCACAGCTCGCGGTATACTGAGACGTCGCAGCCGGGACGGATCCCGACAATGCTGTCTGGATCCGCCCAGCTGCCTGAGTGACAGCTGGCTCTGCCTATCTAGAGGCAGAGCCAGCTGTACCCACCCCTTCCCCGTCCGTTCCGCCAGTCAGCGCTGGAGGATCGGACAGTTTCATTGTCACAGGTTGTCCCAGATTATGAGGCTGAGTGAAAATCACTCACCTCATAATTCTCCTTTAAAGACTTAGAAGCATTGTATGTTAATGAGTAGAGGCTTCAAGTGTCCCTCTACTTTCTGCTCATACTGCTCAGAGTGGCCTAGAACCTGCACAAAGGCCTCCACCAAGAAAATAGATTAAAAGCTAAGAAATATATTTCTAAAAAATATTTTTTGGTATGCTGTGTGAATAAGAACACGTAACAAACATATAGTGAGGGTTTCTCTAATAATAATAAAAGTGAACCTGAACTGATCCAATCACAAAGCACCATCACTGTCACATGACAGAAAGGAGAGTAAAACTTGTTAGGGATGTCACCAACACACCGGAATCAAGTGAAGCAAACGTTTATTTATTGACGCATCTTGTCATAAGAAATTACAACGTTGCAGGGCCACACAGGGTCCTCATCACCAGGCCTGATGAAGTGCACTCAGTGTGGCCCGAAACGTTGTAATTTCTTATGACAAGATGCGTCAATAAATAGACGTTTGCTTCATTTGACTCCGGTGTGCTGGTGACATCCCTAACAAGCTCCGCTATGAGCGGCGCCATCCGTAGTCACTTCGAGCACCCGCGGGGATAACCAGTAAGGAGTGCAGCAGGATTCTGGAATACACAGAAAGGGGAGTGAGCCGCATGCAACTCAACACCAGGTATTTTCTTTGTTCCCTAAACAGAGCAGCAGAAAGCAAAGTACACAAACAAAACAAAGATTCATTTTAAATTGCAATCAACACAAACCATTGACCAGATTTATGGATGTTTATGCCAAAAAGAAAGACAGAAAGATAAGATAAAGATAATAAAAGACACTGCTGATGGGACAACTCCTTATACCACAGCTATACTAATAGTCCAAAATCATGATATATTCGTAAACCACTTACCAACCATAGTCAACCTTGCCGCAGACCGGATAGTCGAACCTGTGCTCCTTCCTGCATGACTCCTCGTAGCCCCAGCAAGACTTCTGATTGGTCAGGTGCTCCTAAAAACACAACCACCATTTTATTTATATTGAACTGAAGGCTCAATTCACAAAGACAACACACCAGGAAATGGATAAGAAACAAGTGACAGTTTTTTTATGGAGAGCCAATGAGATGTAAAAATTGCAGTCACCTGACTGAAAATAAAAATCCTTGTCCTTGTGTTAAGGTCCATCTTCGGGCGGTTTAAAAAAAGATGCAAATTAAAAACCAACTGTGCTCAAAAAGTATTTTTTCCCACCGATCTCTAACCTATCCTGATAAGCAATTTTTCCCCTTACTTTGTGAAGTCAGATATACTCACCTAAGTTCCCCCTATATGTCCCCAGCCTGCCATATCCAGGTGGGGGGCCGCAAATCCAGCGGTGCAATGGTACCTGAGATCGCCGGTCACCTTCTCTGCCCTTTCCCTGGCGTTGAATCCTGAGAAAACCTCGGCCAATGGATATCCAATAGGAAGTGTCCGTGCAGGCGCTGACGTGGACACTCAAAGGACCCAAAACTAGTGACCATGGTCACATGATCATGGCTTAAGGTAAGTGAAAATTGGCCCTTACATAGGGATATTTTTATGATTATTATTCTTTATAGTAGGGCATGGGAGGAAGGGGTTGAAATTTATTGTGACAATGGGCTTTAAGGGGTTATGCCCCTTTCCCAGGTGAATCTGAGAAAACTGAACTGCAGCAGAAAAAAAAACAAGTCTCCTGCCAGGGAGGAGCTGTGTTATGTGGCAGAGCTGTGTAAATCTTAGGATTGGATGGACAGATATACAAATCATTTGGTAAAACAGCTTCCATATGTATATCTTCCAGGTATTTTGCCCTTTGCCTGGAGTTCCGCTCAAGACATGTGAAATGGGCCTCAGCCCTGTTATCATTGTCATGTCTAGATGAAAGTACATTATATAGTTCTTCATATTTTACATATTTCCTGCTCCATAATTATGATCGTGAGCACTGAATAAAGATTTCTTCATACAGACCACAGGACTTCAGATGGGCAAGGACAAACCATGACTGGTACAGACGGAGCACAGGTGAACAATGGGCGGCTCTGTATGAACTCACACTGAAGGGACAGCGAGGATCCTGGGAGCAAAGGGCCGCCACGTCCGGGTTATTGTACAGAAAGGACGGAACGTGTTCATCCGGAAGATCGATCTTCTCATAATTATAAGAGACATCACTGACCGCGGATACAAACTCAGACCGGGCGACGAGGTGAACTACATGTACCAGCAATCCAGAGATTAGACACAGCATGACAAGGTCCACTTCCTGAAATATAACAGGAAAAGTATTCATAGATATATATGAGAGAGAGATGGAGGGAGAAAGAGCGAAAGAGAGAGCGCGAGAGAAAGAAAGAAGAAGTGATAGATGGAGAGAGAAAGAGAGAAGAAGTGATAGATGGAGAGAGAAAGAGAGAAGAAGTGATAGATGGAGAGAGAAAGAGGGAGGGAGCAAGAGATGGGGAGAGAGAGATGAAGAGATGACAGAGGGAGAGACAGATGGGGAGAGAGAGAGAGAGAGACAGATGGGGAGAGAGAGAGAGACAGATGGGGAGAGAGAGAGAGAGACAGAAAGAGAGGGGGGGAAATGAAGAGAGAGGGAAATGAAGAGAGAGAGAGAGGGAAATGAAGAGAGAGAGAGAGGGGGGGAAATGAAGAGAGAGAGAGAAATGAAGAGAGAGAGAGAATGAAATGAAGAGAGAGAGGGGGAAATGAACATAGAGAGAGATTGTGAAATGGAGAGAGAGTGAAATGAACATAGAGAGAGATTGTGAAATGAAGAGATTGTGAAATGAAGAGAAAGAGAGAGTGAAATGAAGAGAAAGAGAGAGTGAAATGAAGAGAAAGAGAGAGTGAAATGAAGAGAGTGAAATGAAGAGAGTGAAATGAAGAGAGTGAAATGAAGAGAGTGAAATGAAGAGAGTGAAATGAAGAGAGTGAAATGAAGAGAGTGAAATGAAGAGAGTGAAATGAAGAGAGTGAAATGAAGAGAGAGAAGTGAAGAGAGAGAAGTGAAGAGAGAGAAGTGAAGAGAGAGAGAGAAGTGAAGAGAGAGAGAAATGAAGAGAGAGAGAGAAATGAAGAGAGAGAGAAATGAAGAGAGAGAGAAATGAAGAGAGAGAGGGAAATGAAGAGAGAGAGAGAAATGAAGAGAGAGAGAGAGAGAAAAATGGAGAGAGAGAAATGAAGAGAGAGAGAAATGAAGAGAGAGAGAAATGAAGAGAGAGAGAGAAATGAAGAGAGAGAGAGAGAAATAAAGAGAGAGAAATGAAGAGAGAGGGAGAAATGAAGAGAGAGAGAGAGAGAGAAATGAAGAGAGAGAGAGAGAGAGAGAGAGAAATAGAGAGAGAGAGAGAAATGGAGAGAGAGAGAGAGAGAGAGAGAGAGAGAGAGAGAGAGAGAGAGAGAGAGAGAGAGAGAGAGAGAGAGAGAGAGAGAGAGAGAGAGAGAGAGAGAGAGAGAGAGAGAGAGAGAGAGAGAGAGAGAGAGAGAGAGAGAGAGAGAGAGAGAGAGAGAGAGAGAGAGAGAGAGAGAGAGAGAGAGAGAGAGAGAGAGAGAGAGAGAGAGAGAGAGAGAGAGAGAGAGAGAGAGAGAGAGAGAGAGAGAGAGAGAGAGAGAGAGAGAGAGAGAGAGAAATGAAGAGAGAGAGAGAAGTGAAGAGAGAGAGAAATGAAGAGAGAGAGAAATGGAGAGAGAAATGAAGAGAGAGAGAGAGAAATGAAGAGAGAGAGAGAGAAATGAAGAGAGAGAGAGAGAGAAATGAGAGAGAAATGAAGAGAGAGAGAGAGAGAGAAATTAAGAGAGAGAGCTCAGAGTTCAAATTCCTGATCATGACTGTGGAGGTCGGAGCCGTCTCGGTGATCTTTGTGTCTTCATCATTGATTTTGTGATATAAGCTCACCCGGAATAAAGGAGCCCATTGTGCATCAGCTCTACAGACTTCCAGGTTCACCTATGACCACATATTGGGGGGGCTATGATCATATATTGATGGGGGGTTTGGTAAGATTGAGCAGATTTTGTTACTTAAAAAACTAGAAAAGTGGTATGGCAGTTTGAGGTTATGTAGTGTACAGCACAGTGTAGATGACAGTGAGCCAGAGTATGCCATATACAGCGCAGAAGTGCAGACTATACCATGTGAAGTGAAACCTACCGGGCTCAGGGGGTCTGCTGGATGTTAAATATAAAACACTGTGAAGTAGTCAGCAGTGTGTGACGTACAGCACAATGTGCACTGCGTGCTGTGGTTACAATTATGCAAGGTGCAGAAAAGTGGGGGCCAGTGGTATGTAATGTACAGCCCAATGTACAGAATGCAGTGATCCAGAGTATGTAATGTACAGCACACTGTACAGAGTATGTAATAGACTTGTACAGAATGCAGAGGTCCCGGGAGCATTTAAGATAAGGTCGATGATGAGTGGGGGTACCTGGCAGGCACTTTTTTTTTACATACTTTAGGGGGCCACATTACTGCACCACATGCTGACGCAGATCGCATGCATTAGGATGTTGCATAGCCATTCATTTTACGCTAAGGCAATACAGCTCTGACACGTGCTGCAGCGCACAATGGAAAATAATGTGATGCCATGCGCTGTGGTGCGCTGCATCAGAAAATGTGCAGCATGTCTGTGTTTTTGGTCCTCTGTTTTGGGAAGTGCACTGAAGATGAATGGACCGCATTGATGCGATGCATTTTAAGGTGTGTGCATTACTACATTGCACAGGAGACGTGTGACTATACAGTACAGACCCCCCATAGAAGCACAGACCCCATAGCTCTCAGCCACAGATCGGCAATCTGCTTTATGTTCAGCAAGAACTATGTGGTGCCAGGGCATGCTCGATTGGACGAAAATGTAACTGGATCGCTCAGGCACTCCCATCCGCACTAATTGATGTAACATCCCACAATCACATACATCGTGACAACGTCAGAAAACAATACATTGTCTCTTTTTGTAACATGCACAGTACGTGCATTAGAACATGCACCTGCTGTGTGCAGGGATTGCCGGGATCTGTAGTTCTACAGCAGGCAGAGCAACAGGAGGCTCCCCTTTGTGGTACTAACCAGCACCGACCAGTAACATGGCTGCGGGCTGAAGCTGCAGGATGAACATTACAGATCGGTGAGTGATCGTAGAGGGGGTAGCATGTTGCGCACTTGGTGCAGGCAGGACAGCGTAGGCTAAGCAGGACAGTCATCCCCCCTCCTCACCTGCTCCTGTGCCCGGATCCGGCTCTACACCCGGCTGCATCACCCCGATCCCCGGCTTAGAGTTAGCGGAGGAGGGAAGCCGGAAACCGGGGGAGGTGCCCGGGGCGGGGCAAAGAGAGGGAGAACGGACATCCAGCTAGGAAAAGCGGGACGGGGCTGCAGGCTAAGCGCTGGAAAGGGGGAGGGGCAGCCAGGTGGTAAAGTGGTGGGGCGGGGGAAGGCGACTGGAAAGAAGGTAGGGCCGAGCGCGCAGGTGGGAGGAGAGGAGGCGGAGCCGCGCGTTGGAATGAACAAGGGGCGGGGCAACAGCAGACTGAAAGGATATAAGGGCGGGGCGTGAAGTGAGAAGATAAAGGGGCGGGGTGCCATGTGCGGAGTGCCAGCTGCGGGTTGGTATGGGGATGATGGGGGTGATCGGAGCACGGCCAGCAGCAGTTCGCATTCTCTTTACGGATCACCCCTCTATAACCCATATAGACCAGAGCAATCCTTACATTTCTGCTATGGGCTTGTTTATATGGCAATGACATTGTCATGACTTACGTCATAAATAAAGTATTGTGTATAGAAAAAAAAATGAATGTATTTATCATTTTGCATTGGAGCCAGTAAAGCATTGCAACTGTGATCAGTGGCTTGCAAGGGCAATGCTCTGCCTCCTGCAGATTCTCCCTCCTGCCCATCCAGTAACATGGACAGGAGGAAGAATGAAGTATGATGACATCACTGCACTTGTATTCCATTGAGAACTACAAATCACTCAGCCATAGTGGATGACGGGGCTTGGTCTAAAAAGTTAAAGCCACGCTCCGTGCAGAATGATCATTTATCGACCGCACTGGGCGTGTGAACAATCATTACAAAGCTGGTGTTATGTGCGGAGGACAGCTGCAAAGTAGACAAATCTGACCTTGCAGCACACCGTCCCCCGCACTTAATGTACAGCGTTCGGGCGCTGAAAAGAGGGATAGTTGCGTCCCAAGCTCTACAGCGCTCCATGCGCGTCACCCGCCCCTTTTTACTATCCTCCAATCAGAAAATGTCTTGTATTTTCTTTGAAGAATACAAGACATTCTGATTGGTGGAGGAGATATGATGTCACATGCCTGTCCCCTCCTCCTTTTGGCCATGCTATCATGAAAAAGTCATTGCTCCAGTTTTCATAAATTCTCCCCAGACAGAATCTGGAGCAGCTGTGCATGGCAACCAATCAGCTTCTCTCTTCGGTTTGGTCAAATTTGACAATGAAAGAGAGAAGCTGATTGGCTGCCGTGCCCAGCTGCTCCAGAATTTGTCTGGTCCAGTTCTCATAAACCCCCCTCATTGTATGTACAGACACCAGAATATGGAACATTTTGTGGTGGCTACTTCTTACATTTCTGGGCATTCGCACAATGACCCGTGCATGCGCAGTACAATATCCTCACGTGTAGAGTTCACTGAAGCTTTCTACAAATCAAAAGGTTATTACAATCAAAACCTTTTTTTGGGTTTTGTATAAAGTAGGAAAGGGATTTTTTGTTGTTTTGTTGTGTCCCATTAGGGAGATTTCCTTTCACTTCCTGCCCCAGATGCAACAGGAAGTGAGAGGAAATCTCTAGAAAGTGACACTACACTCCTTGCATACTGTCACTTCTTGTTCTGAAGACATCGGTTGGATTTCCCATCACATTCTGTCCCAGTGACAAATGCAAAGGGTGAATCTCTTAGCGGGACAGACATAGAACTGTGGCAGGGGTTCTAATCCTTCTCTGCTCTATTCAATCAAAACTAAAAATACGTTTTAATTATACACACACATTCATCTTGTTACAGTTTCCTTTAATGATAGCTGTGTGCACCTGATGCAGTTTTATTCCTACATGGTAAGTGCATTTAAAAGAGAACTGTGGGGTGTTTTTCCCCATAGTTCTCCTAAGGGTCACAGGGGGTCATATACTAGCATCCTCCCGTGACCCAAATCTCAGTATATAGTGAGCTACAGCTCGCAGTATACCGAGACAGCCGCAGCAGAGACGGATCCCGACATTACTGTCAAGATCCACCCAGCTGCGTGATTGACAGCTGGCTCTGCCTATCTAGAGACGATCCATGAGGATGAGTGAAAATCACTCACCTCATAGTTCTCCTTTAAGAATGATAAGAGAAGTGAGACAGACCCCACATCAGTAGAGAAGATGACATTCTTATTATAGGCTTGGCGTACATTCTGATGGTGGAATTTACATTCTATAGCAAGCCATTCTTAGTAAATCGCTTGTATATACAGTGTAGTCAGCGCGTGGTTGCTCGCTCACATCTTGTGTACATAGTACATTCCTTGAGCATGCAATTTCCTTCTTCATGGGGAACATATGCGATTGTACGCTGCATATCCTCTTGTAAACCAACCCTGTTATGTCAAGATCTAACCTCTAAATATGTTGTACCAATGATATTGTCACAAAGTATTTCTCATTGACCCATGCAAACACTTTAGTTATTTTTTTTTAGTGCAGCACTCCTTAACCAAAAATAAAACAAACCCAAAAGTGTTTAGGAATGGTACAGACCTGGGAGATCCCGGGGCCGCAGGATCGTGTGCAGTTGCACACAGGGGTTGCCACGCAGACCCATCGATTTAAATGGGGTTACATCCGCACAGCAATCGCCGAAAAAAAGGTACATGTATCTTTTTTTTGTAACAGACGACGTACTGCTTTATTTTAGCCACAATCGTGTTCAATTGCACGGGCAGAATCGCGGTGGGAAACTATGTGATCCGCCCTGCACAACTGGGGTGCCATTAGAAAATAATGGCACCTGCAACACGATCGTCGGTGGTGGGCAACTCTGTGGCCGCACGGTTTCGTGCACGATTGCCGCGCGGTCACGGATCAGGCAAGTGTGAACCTGGCCTTGTACTCCTCTACAGATCTCCTTAAAGTTACATTAAACTGAGGAGTTCAATCTTAATACATTCGAGTACCCTAACTATGAACAACAAATGTATCTTATTTGTGTATCACTCGGCTGTAAATCCTCAAATCATCTCTGAATTGGTGCTGACACTGTCCTTCCTTCTGGAGGGGGGCTACTTTTGTTCCCCATAGTCCCTGTGTGTTGTAAAGTAGCCACCGCTTGAGGCTCACTCTTGTGGTGGACTACAATCTCAATACAAATTAGTAAAGTAAGCGTGAGATTGTAGTCCATCACGGGAGTGAGCTTGGAGCTGTGATTACTTTACAACACACACAGGGACCATGGGGAACACAAGTAGCCACCCTCCAGAAGGAAGGACAGTGTCAGCACCAACTCAGAGATGATTTGAGGATCTACAGCCGAGTTATACACAAATAAGATATATTGTTGTTAATAGTTAAGGTATTTTAATGCATTTTGAAGATTTAACTCCTGAGCTTAGTGTCACTCTAAATTGAGTGGAATTGCAATAGGGGTTCACCTATAAAAGTTGTGGCCTCGTGGCACTGGCGCCCCTAGATGGCGCTGACGAGTATAGGAAATTCTTACACTCATCAGCACCATCTAGGGGAGATGCAAACAGCATAGCTGTGCACAACTTTTATAAATGATCTCCACAGTGTTTGGTGAACATTGTTCACAGTAGAAGTAAGCTATAGTGCTTTGACAGTGTTACAATGCAAAGCACTGTTTATTCATTTTTTTTTTTTAGAACTTTATTGGGAGTGTACAAAGTATACATTCCATTCAAGGTCTCTGCACTGCAGTGTGGTGAGGTGCGGTGACCTCCGGTGCCACCCATCGCACATGCCTGCATTTCTTTGTATCCCACCGCAGGTCACACCAGCATTGCAGTGTGAATGGGGCACATAGAAAACAACTGATCTGTGTTCTCCTTTATAAACATCTACACATTATTGCTAAAGATCACTCTCCGTGGAATTCTTCTCTCCTGGTCCAGGCAGCTGTAGATGGATACGGGGAACTTCTCAAACCACACCAGACATGAAATGGCAGATTACATTCCAGTACTACAGCAGATGTGAGTACCATGGGGCTCTCCAGCTGCTGGGGATTTGTAACGGATCTACACCACAGCTGATGTGCCAATCACCCCTGCTGCTATGTATAAGCTGCTGTTCAGTTGCAGATCACTACTGCACCTAATATAAAGTTCACATTTAGCTTAAAATTAGCAAAATGTGCATTGTGTGAAGATGCCAAAAAAATAGGCAATGAGGGGAATTTATCAAAACTGGAGCAGGCAAAATCTGGAGTAGCTGAGCATAGCAACCAATCAGTATCTCTCTTTCATTTTCAAATCTTAACTGAGCAAACTGAAGAGAGAAGCCGATTGGTTGCCATGGGCAACTGCTCCAGATTTTGTCTGCTATAGTTTTGATAAATTCCTCCCATTATGTTTACATTGAGCAAATACTCCAGATCACAGCCGGTTTATTCAAATACTTAGACCCCGTTCACATTGAGCGATTTATCGCACGGTAATTCCCGCGATATCGCGGCAAATTACCGCGCGATATCGCGCTCCAATGCACTCCAATGGGGCAAAGGGTCCTGCTGTCGCGGGTCGTGTGTCGCTACAGCAGGACCCTTTTTGGAGCGGATTTAGCCGCGATTCAAACTTGCTCAATGCAAGCTTGAACGCGACATCGCGCGGCAAATCTCGCGATGTCGCGCAATATGCAAATCGCGTGACAAACGCGCGATTTGCATATCGCGCAGTGGGAACGGGGCCTAAAAGTTACGGATGCACCGATATCGGTATCAGTACCGATACCAAATGCTCTGATGCCGTCCCCAATACCAGAACTTCCGGCCAGAGGAAGATTTCCTCTGACTGGCAGTGCTGTAGGGAAACATGGAGTTGGCTTCCCGGGCAATCAGGAAGCCGGGTGGCGAGTAATGACCCTCCTCCCAGCTTCCTGAATGGCTGGGAACAGCTGGCTCGATGCTGAATGGCTGGAAAGCCGGCTTCCCAGCCAATCAGCATAGAGGTGGCTTCCCGGCCGATCAGGAAGCTGGGAGGTGGGTCATTGCTTGCCACCCGGCTTTCTGACTGGCTGGGAAGTCGGCTCGATGTTGATTTGCCAGGGAACC